TAGGTCATGATAAATAACAAGTGTAATACAAACAGGTCATAGGTCATGATAAATAACAAGTGCAATACAAACCCGACCAAATATTCTCTGTAAATACAAACCCGGTCAAAGATTAAAGGTTTACGGCAACCAATTTATTTTAACAAACTGAAATAAACGCAAATTAAAATACTTAAGTTCATTGCATTGTATATTGAGGGGGGAGGGGGGGCAGAGGATGGGGGTAGCATACCATTAAAAGTATCATATTTAGAGTTAGCCACCAAATTGTCAAAGAAGGTTGGTGAATTTTTTGAGGAAAGGAATGGCTCAACGACAATATTTGTTGCACACGGAACAATTTTAGTCAATAGCAGATTAAACTTTTTAAATTATATTATTTACATGTTTTACATTTTTTATAACTTTCTTAATACAACACAAAATATGTTTATGCCTAAATTTTATGATTAAAATCCGGTAAACATACGGTAGAGTTACCTTGTCTCTGGAGAGAGAAAATAGTCACCTGCGAGATGAGAAGTTTGCTGCTGGCAGAAAAGAAAAGACCACATTCGGAACCAGGAACTAAGACAAAGGGTTGGTGTCATGCCAATCACCCAGGGTATGTCTCAAATCCACATTTTAAAATTTGATAAAACTTGTGTTTTAGATAGGGTCCTCATTTCCTGTACTCTGATAACGCTCTGGAATGTGGTAGAGGGTGTTTCCTCAAATGAACTCCAAACAAAGCCGGGCATATTAGCTAGTATTCTTCCAATGAAATGGGAACCAATCACAACGAAAAGTCAATGCTAATTAAGTGTGTCAATAACACAACTTAATAACACAACTTATTTCTTAACTAAACCTTTTCAAAGTACAACTAAAAGTAGTAACATGACAGAATTGAGTTTAAAAAAAACAGCCAAGAATGTTTCACAGTACTCCCATGTCGGAGCCCATGGCACCAAGGCAACTGGGCACCATGACACCAGGGCAACTGGGCACCATGACACCAGGGCACTAGGGCAACTGGGCACCATGACACCAAGGCACCAGGACAACTGGGCACCATGACACCAGGGCACCAGGACAACTGGGCGCCATGACACCAGGGCACAGGGCAACTGGGCACCAGGGCACCACGACAACTGGGCACCATGGCAACCAGGAAGGTCCTTTTAAACATTTGTAACAACCCAAATAAGGACTGGTTGCAAAACACCTGGTTTGTAGTAGGCTTTAGGGCATACACTTTTAAAAAAAGTGAGTGGGGGGCAGATAGCATCCACGGGGATTTTATATCGAGTTTCCAGGAAATTATTTGATGAGTCTAATCTGAGCACACTGAAATGACGTGTTCAATGTGTATCTGCTGACGTCTAAATCAAGATCTTCATAGCCAACACGTTGGGTCTTCCAACCGCAGCTGGACGATCGCCATGACCCGTGCTACCCTTTCAGTTTATCTAGACCAGTGGTTCCCAAACAATGTTTAAATCCATTGATCAATCCTCTATCGACATTTAACTAATCTACCGACGTCCTATATGTAATACCGGTATTGCATATTAAAACACACATATATATATATCCAATAAATAATAATTAAACCTTGCATTCCTAGAGTCAGAAGTCATCTTACTGGATTTTACGAATTTTGACATCATTATTTCTTTCCTTTAAATCTATAAACTCTATTTTGATTACCTGTGACACCTGTTCATTGATCAGAGGGGACCAAGAAAACCAGAAATGTCCTGCGATATCAATATTATGACCTTCGTTTCAGTGAAAAGGTTGACCTATTTTTACAGGGGATGAAATTAAGTTTACCGTTCATTGGCGTAGCTAGGGGGAGTGCCTCTGGGGACCTGACGGCCCCCCCTCCACCCGACCCTTCCTTAGCAAGTGCCAACGTTTCAGACTACGACCCCGAGAAAAGCAGTCGCGACCCCACTTGGGGGTTCCGACTCATGGGTTGGTCACCAGTGACCTTTAGGCCCCACTTGGGGGTTGCGACTCATGGGTTGGTCACCAGTGACCTTTAGACCCCACTTGGGGGTTGCGACTCATGGGTTGGTCACCAGTGACCTTTAGACCCCACTTGGGGGTTGCGACTCATGGGTGGGTCACCAGTGACCTTTAGACCCCACTTGGG